AGCATTTGTCAAAGGCTTTTGGTAAACTCTGATTCATTTCCTTGGTGGAAAAAAGCCGTCAGTAGAGCTGGTCCCGCCAGAAGATCAGGGTTCTGGCTCTGTCTTGCTGCTCTGGGGAGGGCCCAGAATCTGAAGATGGGGAGGGGTGAGAGGGGAAAGAGGAAGGCTGTGGTGGACAACCACAAATTCACGTGAAACTTCCCCTTTGCCCGAACGCGCTGCCAATATTTGCTCCACAGAAGAAGAGAACCACAAGCCAGGGGAGGTCATTTGTACCGGACAGTGGCAATCACCGTTCTATTTATTCCACAGTTCAGCAACTCACTACCTGAAGAGTTTTGGCTCAGTCAATTCTTCTTCTTCTTCTTCTTCTTCTTCTTCTTCTTCTTCTTCTTCTTCTTTTGTTAATGTACAGTATGACTTTGGTGTTAACAACCCATCTGACTGAAATATGTTCCAAGGAATAATAGTTAAGAAAGACAGCATGTTACAGAAATATATGCAATTGTGAGGAAGAGTCACCCAACACCAGCACATTAGGAATTACTTGACCACTTCAGTGTGAAGTTAAACCCATCAGTGCCATGTGAGACAGAGAACATCACCCCTTGAGCAAACTCAAGTCTTTTCTGAGTCTATCTGCCAATTAGACCTGGCTTCTAATTTTGCGAAATACTCAGTACCTTAGTCACCTGTGACACTTCTGGTTACTGCCTGATTATGTGTAAAAATCATCCAGTTATTGAGGCTGATTGGGTTTAGGGAGGGTTGTTCTACTGAGAACATGAAGCTTTGAGAGCAATTTTCAAGAAAAGTGTTCACAGTTGTTAGGTCCAAAAACAAAACAAAGGAGGTGACATTCATTTGCCCATATTAACTAAAATATGGTCTCTGCCAGCAAAAAGTAGTGTTCATTATTTCAAATTGGGGGCAGGGGAGGTTGGCAGTGATGGGGAGGGGGAAGACAGAGATCAAATGAGGAGAGAGACTAGAAAAAGTATTTATATTTAAAAAAATTGTCTCCCATAAGACTTGTTACATCAACATCAAATTAACTTAAAAACGATAATCTCGTATGGGCTTCTTTTGAAGAAAGATACATTTGAAATGATACTGCAGTACCCTTCTGTGATGTTATGAAACCCAGCTGGAGAAAGAATTCATACCACAAGGCATCATGACAGCCTGTACTGAAAAGTGACTATTTCTTTAGTCTTTGAGAAGACTTCATTCATAAACAAATAAGGAAATGTAATCCATTGCTTCCTTTCTCAGTCTGTGGTTCCCCACCCCTTGCTTAGCAGAGTCAAGATTTTCTCCCTTATTTTTTTTTTTTTTCAGTCCAGAGGCAAAGGGATACAATTAAGCCCCCGATTGAGCCCAAGTATATTTAATTATTTCAGTGTCTCATGATGGCCTTCCAGGAAGACAGGGACACACAAACCCATCCACCTTCACTGGTTCACTCTGGTGCCAAGCACTCCGCTTCCATGTAAAAACTCCTGGGGAAGATGCCAATAATCTCTATTTTATGTCCTAATTACACAACCACATCTCCCTTTGATGACTTGAAAGAAACAAAAGTTTAAAGGATGGCGTATTTAACTGGAATGTACCTTAGAAAAATTCCAAAGCAGAAAAAAACCACAAAAAACAAAAACAAAAAACAAAAAACAAAAAACCTCAGGCCGCCTTGCACATAAAGCCGAAAACTTTCACGAGTCAGCAGCATTTCTCAAAACTGAGAGTCCACGCTCACGGCAAGCTACACAAGAAACAAAATGTGCACAAATCAGTACTTCCCCTCCTTACATCGCCAAGCACCTGCAAGGCTAAAAAAAGGACAATATCCAGTTCTCTTCTGAGACAGTACAGGCCTTTCCAGCAGATGCATTAAGTGAGATAAAAAACCTCACGGCTGAAGCAGGGAGAAAACGTTGGGACCATTAAGAATGTATTTTCCAAATAATCAATGTCCCAAATATAAAAACTTTTCTTCAGAGTCAATAAATATTTCAACCCTGTGACCTTTCCTTTATGCAAAACAAATTCCCAAGCATTAACTAAGCACATATACTACCCGGGTATAAACACTAGCAGGCACGTAGACTCAGCTTGCCTGACTGACTGGGGAGCTTGCCTCTCAACGTTTTATCACCAGCCTCTGTCTTTGCCCCAAACTGCCAGAGAGATGGGCTATCTCAGCCCAGCACATTCCATATCCTACCCCATCTGGTCTGCCTGTTACAACTTCATTTCCACTTTCGATTCCCCTTGCCAGTCTTAGCTCTCCTGCCATGACTCAACCTCCCCCTAATTTACATTGTCTAGATATTAGTCAATGAACTCCCACTACTCGCTGACATCCTTTTAACTTTGCTCTATCAGATACGGTATTAACTCAGAGGACTGCTAGGTTGATACTTGAAAATGTTCGTTGCAATGATATTTGTCACAGTGTTTGACGTGGAATCCCGATTTAAGAAAATAATTATTTATTCATGCCTGGCTTCATTTCCCAAAAAAAATGTAAGGCTCCTAGCACAAACACACGCAATAAAGTTAACACTTGCATTACGGAAATAGGAAAATGGGGCGAAAGACAAATGAAGGCAGGAAAGTTCAGAAGGAATTAGGAGAGAGGCCAGAGTTTAAAGCTCAGCTTGACAGGCCCATCACGCACATGCTAGATTAGAGTCTAAGCTTTTTAGAGCTCCCTAGAAGCCAGTGGACAGAGAGAGACTCACACATATCAGTGGCTGAAATATTATGGCTCATTGGTCAAACCTGGCCTGCTTTCTGTTTCAGTAAGTGAATTTTTGTTGGCACACAGCCACACCTACTCATTTACATATTATTTACGGTTGTTTTCAAGATACAGTGGCAGAGTCCAGTGGCTGCAACAGAGACCTGCAAAATCTGAAGTATTTACTATCTGGCCCCTTACAGAAAAAAGTCTGAAGATGACCAGGTTATATGATTCTGTGCACAGCAGTTTCCTGGGACAAGCACACCCAAGCATGGTTCTGTAGTGGCAGAGAACTTTCTACTGTGTAATCTCATGAAGACACATCCTTCGCTTCATTTTCCATAGTAAACACAACAACAGTTTTTGCAGGGCGGATGGCATGATGTCACCACACACGTCAGTGAAACCATTCCATGTGAGGCTGAAACAATGCAGGTCAGGAGAATTGGTCTCCTGCTTTGGCTTCATTCAGGGAGAGTCGTACAGATGGCAAGTGCCTCCCCACCCTCCTCGCTTATCACGGGCAGACATGGCCAATGGCTCTAGGTGGTTTCGCCCAGTGTCCTCCGAAGGCTTCTCTGAGTTCTCTGGCAGCCTCAGCCATCCACTAGCGATTGACATGCAAGGTACACTGGTATGCCATCTTTGTTTTCCGACAGTTTTCCATTAACACTCCCTCTCTGAGTCTGAGAAGTGCCGGGGTGGTGAGATGGAGGAAATGCTCCTGAGCAGAGCCATTCTATTCTGCCTCTCACGGCATGCGTGAGGATGCACTGGGCTGATGTCCTCCTGAGAGAACCTGGAGCTTGGCAAGGACGGCTGCCTAAAGGGGAAAACCCATCACGCCTGCACACGTGTGGGGCAGGTGAGCATCTGAAAGCAGGGCCAGGGCTCTCCTCCAGAAAACAGAGCAAGGAACCTCCTCCTCTCCACGGACCGCAGGGTGGATAGGGCCAAACACTGGCACTGGCATTTTGTCTGCAAACGTTCAAGCCTGATGCCCATGTTGTTTGCTCAAAGAAACAAAACCTCCAAACAGCCATCACCCAGACCCACTGACCTTGAATGCACATATTCCTAAAGAAACCCTCCCTGCCAGAAGCAAGGGTTCCAAAATAAATGCAAATAAAAATTGGCAACGGTGATTTCTAAGAAAGTAAAATTCAGTTGAGTGTTGGAAGAGGAAGACAGAACCTGCCCGCTGTGGATCTGGAAGAATACATCTGTCACCTTTCTCTATGCTCATTCCTCCTTTGTGACTATAAGACTATGTTATAAAGTGATCCTATTTCTATTCTCTACAATAGGGAGCAAAAATTCAGGTTACCCAAAAGTGTTACTGAGTCTAATATACAAATCTAAGAAAATCAGAACTATAGGGCATTGCCACTTGATGTGATTCCTACCCATGTTGTCAAAAGGAAAGAAACAGGCAAAATACATTATGAATCATTTTACATTGTCCCTAACAGATCTTTCTACAAGGTAAATAGAAAGTATAAAACCAGGAAATAAGTAAAACATCAATGCCTAAAACCTTCCTCCTCCCTGTGAGTTTGCAGCTGTATCTCAACTACAAAGAGGTGACATATAACCACATCTGACAAGGGAATTAATACAGCCAACGAGCATGATAGGTCAGTGCAGGACATTTTTCTTCACCCTAAAAAGAGCAAATACTAACAAATGCTACCATTTGCTCTTCAAATACCAATGCTGAGGGTTCAAGTCCAGATTACATAAGGCCACATCTGGACACGACAGAATGTGGAAAATTTGGACTCCACATAACCCTCGAGAAAAAAAGTAAGAAACACTGTCAAAGAGCCAATCAGAATGCTGAGCCTAGACCAACCAACAGTGGGACTCAGTGTGTTGTTCCGGAACTAAGTTCAGGGATGCCCAATTACGCACTGGATTTGGAAGTACACAGAATGTCAACACAGAAGATTCTGGAGGAAAGCAAAAGCCCCTCCATATCAGGAGGGGGCTGATCCCCAATCCTCCAAGCAATTGTGTGACCCTCCACGTCCTCTCATGAGCCCTGAGCCCAAGCTGGAAATCAGAACGGAGTGTTGGATGACATTGCCTGAAAAACTTTTCCAGAACAGTTGAGGCCACTAGAGTTTGTGCTTCCAAAAGACTGTCATCCCAAACCGCCAGCACGCAGGGCGCCCTGCCCATAACCTCATAGGCAGCAGCAATTACTTTTACTAATTTTTTCAAGACAATTGTGAAGGCTCTTACTTACGTAATGCATACAAGGTAAGAATTATCCCAGCCAGGCAGAATCCTTCAAAGAACCTGAGTGTGCTGAACATTGTCACATTCACTGACAGTGCCACAGTTAGTCCAAAGATCAGAATGAAGATGATGGAAAAAAGCAGCACAGGCCGCCGGCCAACCCTGCATATGGAGAGGGAAAAAATTAGGAATCATCGTTAAACAGGATGAATGCTAGATGCTGAAACCCTGTATCTAGCCGGTGCTCTACAGATGTTGATCTGTACTCACTACAGTAAGAGGCTTTGTAGTGTCTACACCAACTTGGTAGATCTAGGGGTCCCTCAGGAGACATTCAGCCCAAACCCTTGTTTTGTACATAAGGGGACAGAGGTCAAACAGCTACTGAACAGAATTGAGACAGGGACTCCATTCCTGTTGGCAAGTCTGTTTCTAAGTATGTAGGAGGATGATTCAAGGCAAGAGTAACAAAATCAATAGCAACTCCCCAAACACAAACCTCGACACACCCAGCATAAAATGTGCTGAGAAATCGCTGACCTTTGGATTTGGCTCCAAAGTCAACATGGACACTGAGCTGAGTGGCTTCATTTCCTTTTTCTGGGATGTTAAGTCGTCCTACCTGACCTCAGGTACATGCGGCCTATCAGAATCAGGGCCCTGATGGCTGCTGGCTTGTTTTTTTTTAAGGGATCACAGGCTAAACTAGGACAGGCTGAACTTTAAATAAGGAGTGTGGACCTGAAAGTGAAGCCTACTAGGCAGCAAGGCGGGGGGGTCGGGGTGGGGGGCGGTGGTGGTGGTCGAAAGAACCCAGCCCACTGTGTTTCTGAAAAGGGCAGCACAAACACTAGGTTGGCGGGCTACAGAGTGGGCTCGTGCAAGATCGGTGACCGCTAGGGGGCGATGTGCTTCTAGGTGGGGCTGGCAGGACAGTAGGGGTGGTCCCAGGGAAAGGAAGTCACTAGTTCTCCATCCTTCCAGTGCTACCTTTCCAACTTTTCCTTCATCAACTCATTAGGAAAAAAACCAAAAAACAAAACCAAACTCTCCATCACACAAATTAACATAAATATAATTGGCTTGAACTAGAAGGCTAGCTCACAGAAAAACTGGAGTAGTGGACTATCTGCCAAGGGGAAAAAAAATCTAAGCCTGGCACCCCAAACACCTAAAGAGTTGCTGAATGGCTTAAGCTCGCCTAGACATCCTTGTGACAGTCTTATGACCAATAAAAACAGAAAGTAGATTCACAGCCTAGGGCTCAGGATGAGAATAGGGAAATGACTGGAAGTGAATGCAAGATTTCCTTTTAAGGTGCTAGAAATGTTTGACACTTAGAATGTGGTGATGGTTGTATAACTCTGTAAAGATACTAATATTTATTGAGTTATACACTTAAACTGAGTGAGTTTTATGGTAAATAAATTACCTCTCAATAAAGCTATTAAGAAAAAACCAATACTCTGTAATGTATATCCTTGTCCTATGAAAGAAATGGATATAATTTCAAGAAAATTTGGGGGGAGGGTACTACAGGAAACAATTTCATCCATAATTTCTTAGGCTTCTAACCATCCCCATTAGTCACACTAGTTTAATGAAATGAAGCCAAGGCCATGAACTCAATGCCAATGGAAGTCAACTATCCTGTCAAGAGTTTTTAGCCATTATGTCCCTTTGACTGGTGCTGGGGTCATTAAGCCCTTGTTGCCTAAGATTCTATACGTAGTTTTATCCAAACCCAATTCATTTAAAGAAATAAATTTAGAATATGGCTTAGTTGGTCTCCTGAAATGAAGGAAAACAAAGATGAGATCTACCTTCTCCATTTTTATTTCCCTTTTCTCCCCTTGTTTGTAAAGTGGGGATAACAGTCTGACTTCACAGCATCGAGATCATTAAGAGATGGCAGATACAGGCACAATGTGTAGCATAGACCAAACAGTTAAATGTTTAGCTTGTATGATTCCTTCCTACACATCTACATCCCAGCTGCCCACCAAACATGGTTTGCCCTGTTCCAATACTTTAGAAAAGATCCTGATTTTTTTTTTTTAACTTGTAGAAACTATTCTAAATCTCTCCATCCCAAATGGTTGCTAAAATCATGAAGTAAAAATTATTTTTAGGAACTCTGGGGCAAACATGGTCTTTGAAAGCAGACACCCTGGATTTGAATCCAGGCTCACCACTTAGAAACTACGTGATCTTGGGAAAGACTAAGCTTGTTCAAACGGGCCTTGAGTTTTCTTTAGGAGGGACCAGTTACTGCCGACCTAAGGGGGCTACTGTCAGGTGGGGATATGTGATTCAGTAAGCGTTCAACAACTGTTACAATCGCTGGAGTCTTAGTGTGAACTGGCTCCATCCAGAGGAGGATCCCGCTCAGAGATGTCTGACAAAACTACACTCCTAAGTCTGTAATGCAGACGGGGGACCTAAAGGAGGGCAGAAGAGTGGCCCTCAAGGCCTCAAGGATGTCCACGTCCTACTCCTCAGAACATGTGAATATGCTACCTTTCATGGCAAAAGTGCTCTGCAGATGCAAATACGATTAAAGACCCTGAGACGAGGTGGTGATTCGTTCAGGTGGATCCAGTCTAAGTACATGGAGACCCTCTTCTGGCCGTAGGGAGCCAGAGAGATATTAGCGTGAACAGGACCTGATTGCCATTGCTGGCTTTGAGGTTAGAAAAGGGGCCACAAGCCAAGAAATGTGGACAGTTTCTGGAAGCTGGAAAAAGCACAGGAAAGGATTACTTCCTGGGGCCTCCAGAAAGAAATGCAACTCTGTCGGCACCTAGAATTTAGCCTTCCATGAACTGCAGACCTGTGAGTTCATTAATTGAAGCCCCCAAGTGCATGGTAATTCGTCACAGCAGCCATTGAGAAGTAATACAGGCTCTCAATAGGGAACAGATGCCCCACTCAAAATGAGTTGAGGAGATTTTAATAAAGGGATTATTTGCAAAAGGCTGGGCAGGCTGTAAGAGAAATTTGGGTCTGCTAGCAGAAGGGGGATAAGGGGGAAGATGGTCTGGGAACCCAGAGAGAGAGGTGCCATGTGGAGGGGCTCCTAATGGGAGGCAGCTAGCCTCTGATAGCCCTGCAGAGACCCAGCTGGGGACAAAAACATCCCGCCTCACTATCATCTCTCCTTCAGACCTCTAGCTGGTACTCTCTCCCCATGGCCAGGTTCAGCCAGGAGCTAGAGGGCAAGGGGTCCTCTGGTGCAGTCTAGAAAGGCCAGGGCCCAGGACCCAGGGCCCAGTGCCAGTTGTAGACTATGTAGAGGGCTCGTGGAGGGAAGTGTGCTCAATATCCAGCAACAGAACCAACCACGGAAGGAAGGGAGCTCATCTAGCAAGAACAGAGACTGGGCTATTCCCTTTCAAAAGTCTCAACTAACACATTATAGGACAGTATATAGTGTATATCCCCAAACAAGATTTGTGTGGAAAATGATACCTTTTTAAAGAAAAAGGTGTACTGGGGTGTCTGGCTGGCTCAGCCAATAAAGCATTTGACTCTTGATCTCAGGGTTGTAAGTTCAAGTCCCACATTGGGTGTAGAGATGACTTTTAAAAAAAAAGTGTATTCCTGAATTTCATTATATGCTGACTTCAGTCTTAGAAAGCTTAACCTAGGACTTGGTCAACTTCCCTATGTGGCCATGAAACGGGTGCTAGCAGCTGTGAAGTTTGAAGTTCCCTCTAAATGTGCTTATTTCCTTTCAGCAAGGCTCTAGCAGGGAGTCAAAGGCCAAAAATAAATTATAATAAATACAGGGTGGAAAACACCAAACTTTCAAGCTGGAACTGAGGCCCTCTCAAGATGTTCAAGAACCACAGCACAAAGCAGCCTGGCCTGGCTCTCCGGGCACCCCTCGCCCACTCACCCCAGACTTTGGAAAAGCAACCGCCAAGAGACGTGGCTTTGCAGCATGAGGCTCTGGCTATTTGCAAAAGGAGACCTCCAAACTCCTCTGCCTTTTGTCCCCAGGCCTGGTGTGTGATCAGGGACGCAAACAGCAGGTATGTGCCAGAGGTAAGAAATCACAAAAACAACTTCTAAACAGTTGAAGCCATTACAGACTGATCCATTAATAGAAGTCCATGTTTACTTTCCCATTATATAATTGAATAAGGACACTCAAACCTCAGCCAACTCTGCAGTTTTTAGAAAGAAGTGACATGGATTATATTAGTATATCTTCCTCATCTATTTCAACGCAGATCACTGGGAAACAAAAGTCCTTGTGGTGAAAATATTGGGATTACAGTATGTTCCAAATTAGTAACAGTTTACTCTGAAAACCTATACGCTCAAGTATTTGGTGGAAAAAACCCTACGCTCCTCCCACTTCCCCACTCCTCCCCATGACCATGTCAAAAAAAAAAACCCTCAAGGGGGCTGTAGTATAGGTTTTCAGAGGTCACTGACAGCTTCTCTGATACCGTTCCCAGGGAACTTGTCCTTAAGAAGCATTTACAAATGCTGATTAAGCAAATTCTGAACACACAGGAAGTCACATTACCTGTGAATGCAAGGAACTCCCAAATAGATGTTTGCTTTTGGAAAGAAATTTCCAGAACTTGAAAGTGCTTTTGGAACCCCTCTGGGCCCCACCTGCCGCTCTATTGCTCCCCTGCCCCCCTCCAGCCTCTTGCTGGACGGCCTCAACCAGCTGTGTCAGCTAACCAGGGTACAGGAACAGTGCAGAGCAAAGCCACGATGTCAGGAGTTTGCTCCATATCACTCTTAGCCCTTATTACATCACTGGGTCCAAGAAGTCCCTATTCACAAAAAGTCCCTTTAAAAACAAAACAATGTCAAGAGTGGGAGAACAGCTACCCCACACCTCTCTCCTAGAGCAGTCTCATTACTGGACAACCCCGTCACCATTGGGCAATGCTGCTCAGATGTGTGCTCGCTGCTGTCCTTGTGACCACATGGTGCCTTAAATAAAAGTGCTGTAGCATGCTTGTGAAGAGGCAGGCTCTGGAGCCACTGGGCTTTTGTTCAAATCCAGCTTGAAAAGCTGAGTAAACCTGGGATTTTACTTAGACTTCTGTGCTTCTGTTTTTCTACTATAAAACAAAGATAATAAGTAGTATCTACCTAACAGGGGTGCTCTGAGGATGGGATATTTCAATGCATAGAAATATTTAGCACAGTGCCTGGCAACAATAATCAGTAAGTGTTAGCTGCTAATATTGTTGCTATCATCATCATTATCATCATCATTATAATTCTCTTCACTACTCCTCTCCATCTTTCTAACCTTCTCACTTTATCATGAACCACACACTTTGCTCCAGGCACTAAGAACTCCTTACCCACCCAAGTAAAGCATATTCATTCTCACCTCTGGTCACCACCCTTCCTCCACCTGCAAATATCCATCCATTATCCAAATGCTGTCTACCTTACAAGATCCACCTTCCCCATGGACCCTGCAGAGGTGTCTCCTGGCCAAGCCAACTGTAAAGGACTGTGCCTCTCTGAAATCTGCATGGTATTTGGAAATGTCATCAGCCTACCCATTCAAATCATGTGGGTGGACTTTCTAGCTCCTCCTCTCCCCATTTTTTGATGCATCTCATACACCTACCTCCTCAGAGCCCAGCCCACAGAGCCCTCAAACTCTTCCCAACACAACAATAAACATCAGGAGCAGATGGGGCTGCAAGTTGCATGCAGGTTTTGCTAGACTTAGCAGCTAGCAAATTGCAATGACTTTAAATTCTCACTTCAAAAGGGTCTGTTGTATGCACTGGCCAATCCTTTTGGTTCTGGATTCTCCAGGTGATGGCTTCAGCCCTCTGCACCAGCACCAACACCAGGGCAGAGAAAAAACCTAGTTACAGTAAGCTAACACTGACCATTCTTCTTTAGCCAGCAAAGGCTTGCTGTGGCTTCCAAAGGTTCGTGCACACGGCATGTTGGTACTCACCAGTCAGCAATGCATCCAGTTATTAGGTAGCCAAAGATTAATCCAACCAGTAAGGAGAACTTAGCGATATGGACCTTCCAGGCATTATCACACACAAGATCCCACTAGAGAGGGGCAAATAGAAAATAAATCAGAGAGAAACATACACAGATGCCAGTTGTAGTTAATCATAAGGGCAATATAACAACTACAGTAAGGATCATGACACCATTTGGAGCACCAAGTCACACATCCCATGAAGACTCCCTTCCATGTGTTTGAAAATACAACAATGAGAAATAGAATTTGCCCACAAAAGGCAGTGTAATGTTTTAGTCCAGGACAGACCATAAAAGTCTGCAGGGAGCACCCCATGAAATGTGGGGGCACATGCTCTTCTGTGCCAGCTACTTGGGGACATAACCTGAGGGAGAGGAAGCAGCTAGGAGGCTGGGCACCAACACCCCTTCTCACCCACAGAGCTGTCACATGTGCAGGGAGGGAAGGCCCTGTCAACTTTTTGCAAGAGGTATCACAACATGAGAAAATTAAAGGCAACTTCTGTGTTTCCATCCTCCAAACCTCCCCTGTGCTTTATAAGCAGTCTGAAAAATATTTAATAGTTAATGTTGAAATATCAACTAACAAAACATTCTCACTTTTTCCCTTGTAAGTGTCCCTTATGCTTTCCCTTATTCCATTCTGAGGCTATCTGCTTAGAGAAGAGAGAGAAAGCCAATCAATTGGTAAATACAGCATTTAGACGCTTTTTACAATTCCATTTTATTATTTAATAAAAAATAAAACAAGTCTCCAAAGTTTTTGTTGTCCTTTTGCAAAATCAAAAGAGAAAACCATGTTTGTTCCCTGGAGGTGATGTGTGTCCAAGTGGAAGACATGTGAGGAGGGCACAGCGTTCAAATCCACAGATATCTGGGCCACAGGAGCAAACCGGCAGGATCTCCGTTGGTGACGCTATGAAGGCTGCGGCCCCCACCCCACATCACCCCATTGATGTCCTCCTTCTGGCACAAAGAAGTGGCTAAAGAACTTCAGGTGAGTGGAGATGGAGAGATGCACAAAAGGCAGGGGAGCTGGACATGTCAGAAGTTCTGGAAGCAGAAATGGGAATTCGTTGGGGTGAAACCTGATCTTAGCTGTGTCTTACTCAGTACCTCCCACTGCCCCCATTTCTGTCCATCTTGAGACCCAGATGGCAAGCTCTGGTCCTGTCCCCCGTTTCCAAACTTCTGGAAAGCCTGAGGGAGCCTCCCTGGGAACTCTTAGCTGTGGGTCTCGACTTCAACAGACTTTGGGAAAAGCCAAGCTTCTGCACCTGCCATTGCAGAGTAGAGCACTGGGCCTAGACAAAGGAGGAAGGCTGTCACACTGTTCCATGACTCCTTGGGACACACATTTGTTCCCTGATGTCCCCAAGGCATGTTCGAATTCCAGAGACCATGGAGAGAATAAATTTCTCTTCTACCCCATCTGTTTGCAGAGTGATGTCCAATGCCAGGCTCAGGAAGAAAGGGAATGCAAGCACAGACCACACAGGCCTTGTCAACAAAGGATGGTTTGTGCTTGGTTCTTGTCGGGATTTATTCAGGTGTTTGGGAGCGGGGCACTGCTGCTTGCACAGAATCTCATCATCAAG